GTTGAGAGCTTGCTAAATGAGAAGGGTTCGGTGAAGAAGCGAGTGGGCTAGGTGAGGTGAGAGTTGGTGGACAAGAAGAAAATACCTGGTTTAGTAGACTGTCGGATTAGGTTGCTTAAGATTAATACAAGGCACTTAATAATGTTGTAGAAATGCTGTCAGATTTTTATTAACTTTAAAGGTTAGATTAATGCTGTGTCTTTTGGGTGAACTCTACCTCTTTGTCCCATAGTGGGCTAAAGCAGTGCGAAGCTGAATCTTGCTACATCAACATAGCACGGACCCTCGACTTCTACGGAGTGGAGCTGCATGGCGGGAGGGTATGTGTCCTTGCACGTTTGCACTCAGGATGACTTTGATTTTGATTTCTGAAAGTTCAAAAACTTCCTTGGTACAGCTATTTCTTTTCTAGGATAATAAGCAAGGCTAATTTTAAAACTTAGAAAAGTTGATAACCTTACATTGTTTTGCTGATTACTTCCTGGTTTTCTGCATATTTGTTGTTTACATTTGAAGACTTTCCTGGGTGGGTGTTAAGTCAGTTGTATTAGAAACAAGCAATTTTGGGAAGATAATTTCATATTGTAATTTAAGAGGCTAAAAAACATATAAATTCATTTCCTAAGTGCCACAGTAATGAGTCAAAATGTCCACTGCACGCTGCTCAGACGAGAGCTAGTAACTCAGATAAGCTGGATTGTAAAGCTGTGATGATACACTACTGTGAGAAGCAATACAGGTTCCTCCTGCTATCTGATAGTGGCAGGAGGAACTATTGTTAGTTCATTCAGAAAAGTTTTGAATGTTTGCAGACTCAAAAAATCATTGATTAAGTCATATCAAATAAGCATCTTTTCATTTCAGAGAAATCTTTAAATATTTTAAATTGATTGTCACTTTTTAAAAATAGCTGACTTGGGTCTTTCACCTCCTGAGTAGTGCCGAGCAGTAAGGGTTGCCATTCTCCCATCTCACAGATGAGAAAACTATACTGGCATTCAGGAACTGAGCAGAGGTCGTGCAGCATGGAAGTGGTGGCTTCAGTGCCCAACTCTGGCACTGTCATTTTGGCATCTGAACTTTTCAGCTGCAATGTACTTAGCATTTTCTCCCTGTAATTAGCCCATATCGAAAGGAAGGAACTGTTGGTTGAACACCTACTATATACAAGCCGTTGTTCAAGGTATTTGCATATGAGCCTGTAGATCTCATTTAAAGATGACAGCAACCCTGTGAAATCAGTGTTCCAATACAATATTTTTTAATTTGTAGGAACACTTTCATCTATTTTGTCTACTTCAGTTCTGTAACTGTGAGGCAGCAAATTGTGACAGAGATTCAAGTGGGGAAAAGAAGCCAAGTCTTAACAAAAATACCAAAATTTACTTGATTCTTAGTTATTAGTCCATTAAAAATAGCATTTTGTCTGTAGCAGATAACTTTTGCCAGTGTTGACGGGACCTTGTTTCTGCTAGCGTTCACCTGTGCTCTCCCGGCTCAGCTCCATCCAGTGAAATGGCTTCCATGCCCACAGTTCCTGAACCGAGGTAGTTGTCTGTCTACCTGACTGACACTCCCGAGATGTGGAAGGATTTGAGTTTCTCCTGCCTCAGTTGCATCAGCCAAAACTCCCAAATCTCACCAACTTGATGCCAGGAAGTTCTGTCCCTACTTTTGTCCCACCGTCTCTTGAGCAATTAGGGAATGAACATTTATTGTATCTGCCATGTACCATGCCCTGTTCTGCATTCCTTACTTGCATCCTCTAGTGTCATCCTAATAAAAACTCCAGAGGCGTGCTCTATAATCTTTGTTTTACAAAAGAAAGAGTGACTCAGTATCTCAAAATGACACAGCCAGTGGCAACGCTAAGGTTCACACTCTAGGTGACTGAATCAGATTCCACCTCTTCTGGATAGTTAAGAGGACCCGATTGGGTAAATAAGTATACGTAACTCAAGGGTAAGACTAGTTTCATTTAAACATTTCTTTGCTAATACTAATCGTGCACCGAACAGATGACAACAGTTTGTAGTCCCCGTATCTTCCTTCTGTATCTTCTTCGTCTACAAAAATGCGTAAGGCAACATGTCCTCACACAAGTGAAAGGCACTGTATTTTTAAACAGTATTTATTTCTTAATTGGATTTAGAGACCGCAGTTTACACTTCATTATAATTGCTACAGTCTACTCTGTGATGCGAGTTAAGATTTGTCGACAGCTGGGCCATGGGCAAGACCTTTTTGGTTTGAATCGACTCTTTAATACTAATTGTTGGAAGTGTGAAACTGCACATTCATGTCTATGATTCTCGGAATGTGTACACTTGCCTGGTAACTTTCTAATCCCACGAAAGCCAAGTGTGATTGTCAGCCATGTGCATTTGCTTTGCAAGAATTTGGCTCTGTGGACTTGGATGTTAAGTCTCTGGTAAAGAGGGAGTTTTGTCTGTGTTCAGTAACATATTCCCTTTGGAGCATATACATATTGACGCTACTTATGAAAATACTGGAGGGCATAAGCATGGCTGTAACTTGCTGGAAACATGAGGTCTTCCTGTTACAGGATCTGCACAATTTAGATCTAATGATTGGAATCGCTTCCGCGGGCATCGCTGTGTACCGAAAATACATTTGCACAAGTTTCTATCCTTGGTAAGTGCAAACCAGTTCTCACTATTTCCTGAATCGTGCTTTATAAATATGCAGAAAAGTAATCATACCTCTCGTTTTAAATTTTTTTATTAAAGAGGCAGTAGAGACACCCCCCAGCACACCCTGCCCCACCACACACAATGTTTTTACCTCTGACCTCTGACTCTGATCCAGATTTGGTACTTGGAATATTAGAGTTTGGTTTCCATCAGCATTCTTTCCCCCTCAGTCACTCTATGGAATGAAGATGCCTTGGCTAAAGTGCCAAGTGGCAGATCTTGGAGTTAAGAAATCTTTCCTGGGCCATACATTGGCAGGAGTTGTATTTTCTGTTCCTTAGTTGCTCATGCAACTTTTGTCAAATGTCCAGCCCTGATATAGAAGCTGAGGTGCCCCCATCAGACTTGACTCCTCAGAAGACAACTGTATGAGAAAGGCAGTGCCAGCCCCACTGCTGAGAAGGCTTCAGAGTGGGCATCTTGGAACACAAGCTTAGGGCCTGGCACTCAGCATCCCTGGGAGAACACTCTTGAGCGCTTCATTGATGTCTCTGAGCCTCATTTTTTTTTTAAAAGATTTATTTATTTATGCATACAGAACTGGGGTACAGGCCAGAGGTACAGGGATGGTGAGACGCTTTACCAGAGATAGAGTGGGGAGTAGAACAGACAAATTTCTACTGAAATAACACAGCTGAGGGAAGCAGCGGACAGGTCAGGAGAGGTCTGCTGTGCCATGTGCACCACCTCTGGGGCTGGGGATCGAACTCTCACTGAAGTGGCTACAGCTCGCCTGCAGTGCTGTATCCTAACCCGTTGCGCCACCAGGGAAGGCCTGAGCTTCAATTTTGACTGCAAGGCTTAGGTGAGGGGATGCTTGTAATACTTGTAACAGAAGACCCGGCATATAAAAATTGCTGTGTTAAATGTGGCTGCACTTCTGTGGTGACGCACATGACACACCGCTGTTAAGTAACAGGTTCAGATGTGGACCCAGCTGGGTCTGTCCTGGTTCTGCCGCTCCACACTGCCCTCCGCTGTCTTCCCGGGTACAGGTCAGCTCATGCAGAGCTGCAGTGTCACAAAAGCAGCTGACAATAAAGACAGCACATTGCTCGTGATTCTCGTCATTTAAAAGCTACATCATAATCTAGTGGCCCTTATGGGACATTCGGCTTCAGTCAGCCACTTGGTGTTTGGTGGAAACGATGGGGCCGCCATCATGTCAACACTGAAGTGAAACTTCAGAAGCTGGGAGCCTCAGTCATCACGATCCTGGAGTAGGGGACATACACTGGGAGGCGCCAGCTCCAGCCAGCGGGTCCCTGATGGGCTTTGTGTGTGTGTTTTATTTTTTGCAGGGTGAACATTCTAAAAATTTCTTTCAAAAGGAAAAAGTTCTTTATACATCAGCGGCAAAAACAGGTGAGTTACATCTTGTCTGCCTTGTCTTTTGTGCTTTTAGCCACTGCAGCTCTTAGTCCTTGGCTGGCATATGTTTAACTGTATAACAGGGAAGAAAGAGTGGGGCAGGTGGTGGAAAGGAAACAGGCCCAGCACTGCTCTGTGCAGGTCACTCTGCTTTTCTGGTCAGGAAGGAGCTCGCTTTGGAGTCAAGGCAGTGGATTTGGGTCCCAGCTCTTCTGCTTACCGGCTGGACTGGTTACTTAGCCTCCCCTGGTCCAAGCTGCCTTGTTTACAGAAATGCACTAATGCCCCCTTCTCAGGGGATAATGGGGATTAAATAACAGAGCACTAGTCAGAGCGCCTGGCACAGAGTCGCCTGCACAGCAGCCATGAATGTCAGCAAGGTCAGTTCCTTCCCTTGATGTGTTTAAAATGCACCAAGGCCTTGTGTGCATCCAGAAGCAGACTCCGAACTCCCTAGATGACTTGTTTTAGTTATCTCCATGGAGGGGGGAGTTAGAGATGAGGAAACTGTGGTTCCCAGAGCTGCGGCATGGGGAGCTGGGATTTGGACCCTGGTTATTGTGAATCGCAGCTCCGTGACAGCATGGAGCTCTCTCGTTATGCTGCATATTTTTCCCTTAGAGTCACTGTGTCCATGTCCCAATTTTTCAAAAGTACCATAGATCATTAATCTGGCTCCCCACGTAAGTGAACACTAGGAAATGAGAATACTAAAGCCCCGAGCAAACCAGGACTAGAATCTGGGTCTCCTGATCCCCAGTGCAAGGTTCAAGGCAGCACAGAAATGCACAGGGTGGTAACTTCACATGAAAACAAAAAAATCTAAACTCAGGAAGGATCGAGGGAAAGGAAGCAATTTAAATGATTGTTGTATATGTGCATGAATTTAACTCTGTGCTTGGTGAAAAGCCAACAAGAGCCCAACAGGCTGATAATTGAAAGCTTCCTTAGTGCCGGGAAAACCCTCTCTTGCAGAAATAGCTCAGCTGCATGTACCAGGCAGCCCCTATATGGTAGCTCTGAATACATCCACCCTGGAAACACAAGCAGATTTAATATAAAAGTGTTAGATGATATAAAGGATGGACTGGTGGACTGGTCATCTTTATGGCCACGTCAGCAAGTTGGCTGGCGGCTGCGGCCCTTGCAGAGTCCTGGAACATGGCTTTGTAGCCTCAGGCACAGTGGGGCTGGTGTCAGCACTCCGTGGCCTCTTCCCTGCTTGCTACCGGGATGGGCATGAAGCATTGTGGGACCTTGCCCCTGCACCTGTGCAGATGAAGTTTCTACTCTGTTTTTCCTCCCAGACTGAATCCAGGGAACATATCGTGGCCTTCAACATGTTAAATTACCGATCTTGCAAAAACTTATGGAAATCCTGTGTCGAGCATCATACATTTTTCCAGGCAAAGAAGCTACTACCTCACGAAAAGAATGTTTTGTCCCAGTACTGGACTCTGGGTACTAGAAATCCCAAAAAGTGAGTATGTTTTTTGAATGTCCATACTAGACTGATAAGTAGATGTGGGTGGTGGACACCCTCCGAGGAGGGAAGGTTCCTCTGGCCCTCAGCCCTATTCCCAGGCACTGGAGCTGAAACTGCCAGTCCATCACGGAGCCATGGTTGAAAGTCTCCAGAGCAGTGATGTCTCTTTCCGTGCATATTCCAGTAGTTCTCAGATCCCCATTGTTCATTTCTGCTTCCTCCATGTTGCTGTCCTCAGCTCTCCCAAGCAGCTAGAACTGCAGCTGTTCTGCCACCGTGTCACAATAAGGGAAGCAAGTGGCAGTGACTCAAGCTGTTGTGGAGCTTCCTGCCATTTTCCACAAAGGCAGCCTCTCCCATGGTGCAGTAATTCCAGAGGGGCTCCATGTTAATGGATGAGTAGAAAGAAAGTTCCCAGAGTTGGCTGACTTTGGGCTCTACTCCACATCGCGGTAGCAGTCACAGCTGGCTTTCCTGTTCCCTGCCCATAGTTTACATCTAACTCTTAACCACAACCCCACGCGTGCTGTGATTCAGAGGGCTGGTATTGGAAATATTTAATGACCCATGCTATGAAAGAAATTAATCAATAAGTGATTAAATTTTAACTCAGATTAAAATGCATTCTCTGAACAAACGAGCCAGTTTCTGATTCGCATATTGCTTGTTCTAAGACTGCCTTCTAAAAATCAGACTACAGAAGTTCTTTATAAAATCATTCCAATAATGTCTGAACAATTTGCTGGTTTCAAAAAGTGTTTCTGTAGTGTTGTGGAGGCTGTTACCGAGCGATGCCTGTCTGAGGCTTTGCCAGAGAAGCAAGCTATCAGACTAGCCCCTAACTTTTGTTTTAGTGACAATCCTGAAGTAACTTTGCAGATTGAATAAGTAGCAAATTTCTGTTAGCATCAGGATAGTTTTTATGTTGCTAAATGCTCTCAGCTTCTGAAGAACTCAGAACAAATGTGTTTTCAGAGTTTTAAGCTCTTTGGATAGTGTCAGTATTTTTATATACTCCCTCATTCTATTCCTGGACGAGCCATGAACAAATAGAACACATGTCGGATGTAGTATTTACTTCAGTTGAACCTAATCCTTCAGGCCGGCCGCGAGGTAGCACAGGGAACGGTGGGGAACATGGACTCTTGCTGAGCAGCCTTGTGCATGGTAGAGTGACCTGAGGCTGGATCCACCTGCACCCCTCACCGCTCTGTGTGCTCCAGGTGTCTTCATGTGGACTGTCCAGCAGTGTCGTTGAATTCTTACACAAGAGATTTAAAGGCTAGAAACAGAATCGCCATAGTTCCTCTTGGTCACTGGCACTCACAGGCCAGTCCAGATTCCAGAGTGAAAAGAACCTGCAGCCACCCTAATACTACCGTGGGAGGCCATGAGGTTGTCGGGGGGAAGGGGGTGGGCAGGGGCAGCAGTTCTGTATACCAGTACCAGCTCCAGCATACTGCACATCTCAGCCCTCCCTTTATAGATGGAGAGAGAGCTTGTGTGGTTTGTCTACCCCTAGAGGTACACCTGGACATTGGCAGCTTGGGCCCTCTGAGCTCCTCCCCGTGAAAGGAACTTGCTCAGTGTTCTCCAAGCGTAAGGCACAATGGGACACTTTCCCCCAAGAGCACCTATTATAACCTGTGACACATGCTTGGAAACTGCCTCATGGAGCCTTTGAGGTGTCGGGCTTGCCTCCGGCTCCAAGGCTGTGCTCGCCACCGGTTTGGTGGCGTTTCCCTTGGACTTTCTCCTGGTGATGCTGCTGCGAGCATTTGATCAGGGCCGCAATGGCGTTCCGTACTGGAAATGAGAGTGAGGTGGAAATGAGAGGTGTTCCATGTTGCTTCTGTTCTTTTTAGTTCTGTTTTGCTTTGTTGGGCTTGTTGGTTTGGGCTGTGAGGGAATGTGTATTATTGTGGCAAAACATTAAAACATACTTTAAAATTTAGAAATGCCAGAACTGAAGAATTACCCTTGAACCGGCTTCAAAGTCTGTTCTCTAAAATAAGTCATTTTCTGGGGTGTGCAGTTGCTTAAAATTTAGATTCTCCAGGTATAAATGAAATTCAGAAGTGACCTGAGGGTAGCACGTTGGGGGAACCTGGTCTGTAACTCAGGTCAGTTCTTAGGCAGAACAGGGCGTGTTTCGCCTCCAGGCTTGTCAGCGGTCAGTGGTTTTCAGGGGAGGCTCCCGCTGGGGGCACAGTGAACCCCAGGGGGGTGGGAGGGTTAGTGTTTGTAAAGCGAGGATTCCTTGATCTTCCTTAATCTGTTTTCCTGTGTTACCCTGAAATTGTTTTTCATCTGTCCAGGTTTAGTTATATCCTGGAAACAACTCTGTTGCTTGAAGGAGTGAGGGCAAGAGACGATTTTCACCAGAAGAATTAACCCAAGGAAGAGCCAGGACAGAATGCTGTCACTTTTGACCGGGACCCCTCTCTCCTGGTGACCTTGACCCATGTCATCAAGGAGTTAGACCCAGGGAGCACGCGGGGACTGAGTGCTTCAGATAGACTGTAATTTCTTTCTTGTTAAACATGTCAGTGTAGAAACTGAACCTGCATCTGGTTTTTCAGGTCTGTAAATAACCAGTATTGCAAAAAGGTGATTGGAGGGATGGTGTGGAACCCAGCCATGCGGAGATCTTTGTCAGTGGAGCATTTAGAGACCAAGAGTCTGCCTTCTCGATCCCCTCCTATCACTCCCAACTGGTATGTCCTTTTCTTTTTGTACTTCCCACCAGTGAACACCTTATCTTTTTAAAAAGAAAATTCAAAAAGTAACCGTTTCCATGAACTGCACAAGCCTTTTTTTTTTTCCTCCATTTGCTCTAAATAAAATTAAGTACTTTTGGAAAAAGTTGAAACTCTGCATTCAGCAGCCTGCTGGAATTACCGTTGCACGTCAGCATTCTAACACCCCAGCGAGTCGTTTGATAAAAAAACACTGTTAGTAATCATGTTTCATTTCTTGTTTTCCCATAAATAGCATGTAAAATAAGCTTAGGGAAAGCCTAACAAAGGTCTGTGATAGAAGTGATGTAAAGGCAGGTACACAGTGAGGCCACTCTCTTCCGAGACGCCACATGAAGGAAGAAGGGCCCTAGGTTTGTAGGTGAAAGTGACTCAGATTTTGACTCTTCTGTTACTAAATAGGTCTCTTTACCTCTCTGATCTCAGTGTCTGCATTTGTGAAAGGGTATAGAAATCATTGCCAGTGAGACACATACCTGTGTTTTGTAAGCGATAAGGAAAAGGTCAGGTGAAATGACTATTGTCCTTTTATTCTAATGTTCTCCAAAGCGGCACTCAGCCAGCAAGAGGGGAAGCTGAGTATCTCCATGCCGGAATAGGAGGCAGGCCCTCTGCTCTTCACTCGAAAGTTAGGCGGCCTGTCAGTCCCCAGGCAGGAATCTTCTAGGACACCGGAGACTCTGAGAAGTAGACAGAGGAGAGGTGCCATGCAGGGGCTCAGGGTACGGACCCTGCACTGGGGCCAGATGCTGTGGGCAGGGATGATAGAAATTGTAACAAAACCCTAACATGCTGAGCAGATATGTCTCTTGATTTCCAAGATTTAGGCATCTCATCCTAACGTGGTAAATCATACTATGAAGTAGCAGCTTAATTTGTCTGAAGGTCTCTCAGGCAGGGATGCCAGGACACAGAGGCCCAGAATGGGATCCGGGGGAACAGCGGATTTGATGTTGCCACACCGTGGCCTGGAGCTCAGGCTGCTATTTATAGGCCCTCTCCGGAGGAGTCACAAGCCTTTCTACTTTGGACACAGCTTTATTGATTATTTGGTCACTGGGGACTGTGAAGATTGGCCAGCACAGTCCCAAGGAGAAATGGCTAACAAAGAAAGGGAAGTTGGAAAAACTGGGGATGGTGGCAGCAGACTCGGGACTGCCCCCCACACACCAGGAGCCCCGGCCCAAGCGCTGTGCGGGGTTCAAGAACACTGTCTCATCTGATTCACTCTCAGGTGTGAGCAGCAACAGCTGAGCCCAGAGAGGTGGTGGGGCTTGTCTGCAGTCACACAGCGGCCTCTGCTTTTGGAAGCACCGGGCGGTGCTCCTGTGTCCTCAGAACACCACACAAGTGTTGCAGAAAGTGAGCATTGCTCTGGGGTCAAGTGAAACTCACTCCATAGGGGTATAGTGGAAATAAAGTTTGAGTCTTGCCCAAAAAGGCACTTTGGCTTCTAAATCTTTTATTTATATTGTTCGAATTAATCAGAAAAATGGCCTGTTGGGCAGTCAGTATGACTTGTTTATGTCTTGAGAGCTGGATCCCTCCTGGAATTATGACTCACCCTAAATCACACTCACCAACTTCCCAAAGGGCAGAAACCAATGTCACCTGCCTCCTTAGGAAGCTGAGGCCACGGTTGCAGGGTCAACACCTCTGGGTTGAGTGTCCAGGGCCCAAGTGACCCTGGTGAACTCTGGGGTGGTGATGGGTGCACTTGGCTCCTTGTTGCCAACAGCCCGGCGAGGAGGCTTAGGTCACTGTTGTCGGATGCCATGTTTAAGTGGCTTTTGCTGCCAATGCCTCACTCTCATCCTTCTCCCACCCAGGCGAAGTCCTCGGCTCCGGCACGAGATCCGAAAGCCCCGGCACTCATCCGCTGACAATCTTGCCAATGAAATGACGTACATCACAGAGACTGAAGATGTGTTTTATACCTACAAAGGCTCCCTGTCCCCGAAAGACAGTGATTCTGAGGTGTCTCAGAACCGAAGCCTGCACGGAGAGTAAGAAATTCACGCTGTTCTCTGTCTTTGTACCTGCTTGTTTGGGCTGTTGAGACATTCGCTCAACAGTGGCTCAGCAGTTAAGGCCCAGGTGCTGCTAAGCAGTAGGGGCTGGCATGCACCCTGGGGTGCACTTTGCTGGGATGGACATGCTGCAGACACCTCCTCCCCTCACAAGAAGACAGCTTGGCTACATGGGGTCTGCTGCCTGTACTTCCTTTTGTCTGTGACAAAGACCTTCTCTTCACACACTTGTTAATGCTCTTGAACAGTCTCCTCTCTAGTTTGTGAGCAAAATGTGGTTAAAATATTCCAGAAGTAGGGACATGTTAGCTACAGTAATATTTCTCTAGAAGTTACCACTGCAGGATTCTAGACCACTCAAGATAGGTTTATTTCTGCTCTCAGAAAGCCTTCTCAGTACCATGGTGTGCCCTCAGGGGGTTCATTTCTTTTTTAAAGAATGGTACAAATATTACTGACTGTCAAATTTTTGTTATGGACAGTTTGCATTAAATTCTTTTATACCGAACTCCCTTCAAGATCAGGAAACATTGTGTCTTCTCCTATAATACTGGTATGAGTCCTTTTATTGTTCAGTAAGGTACATCTATTCACAAATTACCTTTTTGATTTGATCACCAGGGAACTCAGAACTCTGTTGTTTTTCTCAATTGTGCTTGCTTTCCTGATAGTCCCTTCTTTGTCTTATCAGTGGGTCTTATTTTTTTTCTTGTTTTGATGAGTTCACACTTCTACCATAGTTACACATGTTAGCATCAGCTCTCTCAAACTACATTTTTGAGGTAGAGAGACAGATCATAAATCAATAAATTGAGGTTTATTGATCAGAAATCAATAAACTGATGTTTACATGGTAAGAAGGTATCAACTTTTAGGAAGTCAACACGGTCACTGGATATCCAATTCTGTTAACTTCCAGACTGAGTGCAAAATACAGAAATAATCAAAAGATCGGCAAGAAGGCACTTAAGTTAAGCTGTCCGTTTTTACTGCTCTAGGTAGGAGGCTGAAAGCATTAAATGCATCCTGATTATACTCTAGGTGCATAAGTGAATTACAAGCTACTCTTCTGAGGTTACTGTCTCTCCTCTGTCCCCGGACTGTAGCAGACACACTATCTGTCTTCTTAACACCTCTTCTGAAATAATCCCTCTGGTCTTTATTTCTTTGTGATCTGAACATGGATGATGGTGTTGAAAGGATCATTCTCTCTTGCTCCAACTTGCTGCCCTACTGAAGCTGCAGCGGAAGGGTGTGTGTGCCTTTGTGTGACCCTGGGTTTGCAGGTCTAGAAATCCAAGGCAAGGGCACAAGTGTGTATGACTTGAGACATTTGCGTCTGCGGTGGTGCTCTGTGGCTTTGGCGAAAGATGCAACACCATCACAAGGTGCAGGTCACGGCCTCCACGGTCCAGTACAGTAGCCACAATCAGCTGTTTGGGTTTCACCTCGTTAACCTGGATTAAAACTTGAATTCCATTCCTCGGTCACACAAGTCTCATTTCAAGTGCTCAGAAACCACATCAGGCAGTGGCTGCCGTTGTGTGCAGGTCAGGTGTTGACCGTTACCATTATTACCATGCTGTTGATGGCACCTGTATAGACAAAATCCTTTATCTTTATTTAAATGGAGTGAAGCCAACCAGCATGTCTGTAATCGGAAAGGGCATGTCTCGAATAGAAACTGAGAGTGCATAGGTTTGGGATCTAGTGCTGCTCATTTGCTCATTGGTGGCCCCCGGACGACTGGGTGGCCCCTGAGAGCCCGACAGCCCAGTGCCAGGGGGAGGAGGGATAGTTTCTGCCCAGTGGTGTGGGGGGAGCATCTTAAAGGGCGACATTTGTTGCAGAATCCAGTGGCCTTTGCTGGTCATGGAGAAATAGCCAGGTTAGTCAGGCAAGTCTTTACCTTCTGGGGCCTCCAGCCCAGCTGGGCAAACAGCACATGGTCAGCCTTCATCATCCCCCTGTCATTTTGGTGAAAAGGAGAAGTTTGGGGGGACTATCCCAAGGTTCTGAAAAACCTGATTCCATACCTTAGCCAGCCTCCCCACTGTCACACCATGAAATTGTGCATTAGACTCTCACCGAACGATACAGGAGCCGTTAGCCACAAGGTCACTGAAATTAAATGAAATTTAATCTTTGCTTCCTCTAACTACGTAAAATAAAATTCACTTTCTCAAGTCCTGTTTGATCTAAGTAATGCTCTGCATATCAACTCCTCTCTAAATGCCTCCAGGAGACCTTGTACGACATGTCATTCTGGGGCATTTTTCTGTTTTGCAGTTTAGTGGTAAAAGTAGCAAATAATGGTCACTCGCTGCCAGCCCTGCTGGCCGTGGCTTTGCCAGATGCACGACGCTAGTGTCTGCCAGCCAGGTTAGCAGGTGTGTTTTGCAGGTGGAGTGAACAGCTGGAAAACTGCTGCCCCTTCCACCTCTGTGATGTGGGGGGGACCCCGTTCCTGCAGGGGGCAGAGGGAGGGATGGCCGTTGCCTGCTGCTGCTGCTTCTCCAGAGGTAGCTGAGCTTCCCTGAGGAGCCCAGGCCTTCTATTGCCCAATGAAAGAAGGTTGGTCTGCACTTGGTGGGGGGAAAAAAGCTGTGGTGGTTATTTCAGTGAGTATTTGCAAAATGTTTAAGAAATGTTTGACATGTTTTCTACAGCAGATTTGTGTTAAGAGGCAAAAAGAAGTATTCTGTCAGAGAAATGAGATGAATAATATCACAGACAACGAGGAGGGCTCCTTTTAGAAGGAATTAAGTGTAATGTTCTGTACCCATTTAAACAAGAAGCAAGAGAAAGGAAGGAAAAGAGCCGTGAGACTTGGGCTTTCACGCCAGAGTGCCGGCGCCGGGCGCTAGGCGCATTATCTCAGCGCATGAGTCACGCGCCCGTTGGTTCCGTATTTATAGCAGCACCGCGAAGTTGATGATTATAGTTATGAACCTTTGGCAGTTGCTTTGTGCCCAGAGAGAGAGCCTGTACTCGTCTGTTACCCCAAGGTTCTAAGAGCCGGTCTGTGCTCCTTCCCTGGCGCAGAGAGGCAAGTTTCTTCCATGGCAAAAAATAAAAAGCAGCCCACCCTCCAGAAGAAAAGGAGGGTTAGAGTGACTCTGCGGGGCAGGACCTGGAGCCACCAGCTGGATGGGAGTGGAAGAACTCTGCTGTCCTTGTTGACAGGTCACCAGCTGAGCTTCGGAAATGAGTGGAGCTTCCTGGTATCATAGCACCTTCCCTGTTTACTTAGAGCGCCTGCCCAGGCCCCTGGGTCAGCTGTTGCTTTGTGTTGCAGATCTGTGCTCTCACCAGTGTGAATGAAATTAATGCTACTGAGGTAGCTCAAATGCAGATAGGATGGTAAACTTGATGTCGTGGCTGTGTTACCATTGTGATTTCTGAACATCAGTGGGGACCCCCCCCAGGTCATGTGTGCAGTGCACAAGGCCCTGGGCACCTTCCCCAGCCACCCTGCTGGCAACAGAGCGCTCCCTGCAGCGTGGCAGCCCGGGACGTGTGGGAGGCCCGCAGTCCCCACAGTGTGGAGCCTCTTTGACCCTGGGCCCACGTGGGCATTGCCTCCGCGTGGTGTCGCCTCCCACGCTGCCTGCCAGCCCCGCTGCCTCCCTGCAGTTAGTTGACACCCTCTAACCTGGCCACTCTACCAGCCACCCTCTCGGTCACTTAGTGGACCCACGTCCTCAAGGGGCATTTTATTTCCATTAGCATCAGGGCCGAGGACTTATTGGGTGTCTGGCCTCATGCTCAGCCTATAGGAGAGGAAGAGCAGAGCACATGGGCCTTGCCTGACCTTGAGGCATTTCTCGACTCTGAGCCGCCCCAGCCTGGTCATATGTCCTACATGCCCCCTTGCCCGTTGCCAGGTCAGAGCCGTGAAGCTCAGGGAGCACGCTCAGCAGGTTTGGAGGGGAGAGCCTTTGTGATTCTCCAGGATTTAGGGTAGAGGGCGTTTTTATGTTTTGTGCCTTGACTCTTCCTCTCGTGGGCAAATCCTGCTGCTTGTAACACGGTTAAAAACGAAGGGGTGCATTTAGCATTGCTTCTCTTTGGAGAAACATGCTCAGTGACTTTTGTTTCTGATGCCGCTTGCATTTACAGGTCTGAGCATCTTTTTGCAGGTGACAAATACATACGTGTCCTGCTGATAGGTCTTTCTCCTCCCCTTTCTCCCTAGGGAACTGGGGTGGTCAGTATGGCGTGGCCATCCCCTTGTGCAGTGCCCCCGTCTCGTCCCCCTGACAAGCGCTCCCTCCTGTCTTGAGCAGACCGCCCGCTGGCAGTGCGCCCTGCTCCACAGGCTGCGCAGTTCCCTCCCGCTCCCTCCCGCCCCCACAGCCTTGCTTCCAAAGCCTGCTCCTTCACGGTTTCCCGGTGGAATCCTGGTGGCACCCACTGCTTCCTCACCTCCCTCCTCACCCAGTCGACTGTCCCTCAGTGCCACCACGAGCCCAGCTGGAAGGAGGGAGGAAACCCACTTGCTTTGGCATCTTCACTCCCGCTGTCCCTGAGTGGCACCCAGCTGCCACCCTAGCACTGTTTCTCGTCATTTCCTGTCCTCGCCATCTGTCTGGCTGTCCTGCACGCTGAGCGGAGCGTTCCTGCAGCCTGCGGGGAATGTCTGCACAGCCTGACGGCCAGAACAGTGGCGGCATGAGTCTAATAAATGCCTAGCTAAAAGTCACCTCTCCATCCTCCCTACAGAACGGGCTGGGCACAGCGTGCCTTTGAACATACTATTTTTAGTGCCATGGACTGTTTCAGGTAGACCTTTATATTTTATACTGAAAAAGAAAAATACATTCAAACTTTGTGACATTTTTCACAAATTTAAGATTTAGGTATTGGTGACTATAAAATGCACAGTACTATGGAGGTCAATTGTTCCTGCTTTGTCACTTTGCTCTTCCGTTTTTTATTTTTTAAATTCCTTTCACTCTGCCCAACACTGTCACCCTCCAGATTCTGCCGTACATTTGTGGAAGTTGCAGTGTCTTCATATTTAAGGCTCAGGTCAACCCCTGGAACATTATTTCCTAAACCCATCTGGCTTGAGTTTAATAACTGCCACTAGGAGGTACCCTTATAAACACTAAAACAGTGAAGTTGTCCCACTTGGGGGAATCTTTTCCCTTTATTGACATTTCCTTTTAATTAAATTAGTCTCACTAAGGGAGATTGAGACTCCTGTGTGGTGATTGCTGTGATGGTTAACCCCTGGGGTACCATGAGGTTGGGGGGGACAGGAGCAGACCTGGCATGGTCCGGAGAAGAGGAAGTGCTTGAGGCCCATGTCCACCAGGCCTCTGTCCATTAAGTGAGAAGTGTGGCCAGTGGCCTCCAGTGTGCCAGCCCCTGGGGGTTAATCTTTTGAGCTCTTGTGAGGTCTAGGGGGAGTGACAACCCTGGACTGCCAAACCTCGGCGGTCAGTGTCTCTCATTCTCTCAGACAGCCCTGACCTGCATTGTGGACATGTTCCAACACTACACTTTCCAATGCAGGGGGCACCAGCCACGAGCCGCATTCTGGCATTTTTTAAATGAGACTGATGTGACTGGGGGCTAGCTTTCCAGTCAGAACTGCCACTTACGTGACCTGTGGCTGCCATCGTGGGTGGTGGCCACCCTGAGATACAGAAGGGTCTGTATTGGAGGAAAGGAAAATGCGTGATCTCAGTGTGGGCAATTTTTAGTAGACATCACATTTAGTAGTAGTGATCTACTAAATCACACAAAGTGGGAGTAATAATTTGGCCTGGACATCCATCCCATGTCCTCCGCATTACTAGAAGCAGCCTGGGGAGCGATGGGGGTATGCACGTGAGTGTACTTGCTTGGCAATAATGAGACAGCAGACTAGTGGTACGTGTCTCACTGTCACTCTTCTGCAGCACCCAGGAGAGAGACTGAGGTTTGGGCAGCTCTTGCGTCACCCACCCTCCTTCCCTTCTGCCCCAAAGCTAAGAGTGATGGCCAGATGGGACCTGGGGTGGGGGGGTGAGGGGGGCAATGATCCATCTCTAGGTGTGCCAGAGCCTGGGGTTGACCTTTGAAATGCTTCTGAGGTTCCACAGACTTGTGACCAGGCCCCCAGTAGTCAGTGATATTTACTCTGATAAGATATTAATCAGGTCATTAAAATGTCTCCTCCTTCCCCATGATGAAGGAGCATATCCGAGAACAATCCAGCACAGAGCTACCTGACCCAGAAGTCATCCAGTTCTGTGTCTCCATCTTCAAATGCTCCAGGCTCCTGCTCCCCAGATGGCGTCGATCAACAATTCTTAGAGGACTTCCACAGGGTGACCAAAGGGGGTTCCACCGAAGACTCTAGCCAGTACTACTGTGACAAGGTCAGTGACACAGGTCCTGTGGCACAGAGGTGGCCATGTGCCCACCTCATGGACAGCTACGTAGTGTGACCCAGAGAAAATAACACCAGCCCCTGGAGAGGGAAATAATGGAACTAACCACTTTTTCAACATTTTCCAGAATGATAATGGTGATGGTTACTTAATCTTAATCCGTATCACACCAGATGAAGATGGAAAATTTGGATTTAATCTTAAGGTATGTTGTATGTAATTATAAACAATCTTTGGATGAACTTTTAATTTCCATTAAAAAAACTAAGTCCCATTAGGTTTGTGCCACAAACCGAAAGCTGTGTAAGGAAGCTGGCTCAGCCTTCAGCAGTGGGAGGTATATTTTTTGGCCGTGGCAGCTGCCTCATCCAGGAGCCTGCTCTGTGCTTGGTGTTTGCTCTGCACATCGGGGTGTCACCTTATCGAGTTCTTCTGAGTGGTGAAGCTGGTGTTTCTACATCCGTTTTATAAATGCATTGACTGAGGCTCAGAAACATGGGTACACAGTCAGCAAACAGCGCAACCCCCCTGCACTGGGGTTATTAAGAGACCCCATCAGCATTGCCAAGACTGACGAGAAAGGGTCCTAGTGGCTCTGCCTTGAAAACGTGCAAAGCAAGGCCCAGGGGCCTGTGCTCATTGTTTTATAAATAAAGTTTTCCTGGAAGCACAGCCCCTTGTACTAACAGTGGCAATGGCTGCCCTGGGGTGAGGTGGCAGAGTAAGGGCCGCAGAGCCCTCTGTCCCACAAAGCCGAATGTTCCCTCCGAACCTCTGCAGGTAAGGGTTGCCAGCCTTACCTGGCAGCGTGGCAAGGGCAGGTGGCCTTGGCTGCCCACCCCGCTGCCATCAAGCCTTCCTGTCCCCACCCAGCACCTATCTGCAAAACACCAGGGCCCTTTTCTAGGCCTCTCCCCCTGCCCCCCCCAAACTCCCTTTTCAGCAGCATTTATAAATAAGCAGTGCTTAGGGGTCCTTTTCCTGGGGGTCTTCGCCTTTTCTTAGAGCTAGCTTCAGCCGGATGGGTCTTCACCTGATGGGATGTGGGGACAGAAGCTGAACAGCCGTCGCCCACCAGACCAGAGGCTCAGGGCCTCGTGCTGGGTTCTGGCCGGGCGCTAACCCCTGGGATTAGAGCTGGCTCTGTGCCCTCCCTCTCCTGACAGCTGTGCACGTCGTCGTTGCTATGAACTGCTCAAATGAATTTTTTTTTTTTTCAATTTCATGTGTTTCCAGGGAGGAGTGGATCAGAAGATGCCTCTCGTGGTATCAAGGATAAACCCAGAGTCGCCTGTAAGTCCCCGTGCCCCATGGCTCCTGGGCAGGCCCTACATCCGACGCTTGTACCCCATGTGCTGTTTCTTGGCCAGCGGCAAAGAATGTCTGAGGATGAGCATGTGCAGATACAAAGCAAAAGCCCTGCTCCCCAGCAGCTACTGCGCCCCCTCCCTGGCCAGGCAGACCCTCCGACCCCCAGCCAGAGCTGCGGTCCAGCGCGCTCTCTGGCCCTTTGTGTGCATGTACAGCTGTGGAAGTCGTGCTTAAGAGAGGGGAAACTGAGGCGCAGACTTGGCTGGTCTGCCCACACTGAGCACGTGGCCCTGGGCCCCTTCCTACCACTGCACTCCCACCCTCACCCTCCAGCTGGGTCCCTGGAAGATCATTGGCATCGTCTGACCCCTGTGAAGGCCCCTGCTGGGGTGGGGGTGGGGGGCTTCCTCTTGCATAGCCTTCAGCTCTGCTTGGCGCCTCCCGCTGCTGTGACTGGAGTAGGCTTTGCCCTTGCAGTCAGTGCTCTTCTGTTGCCTTTGGCATTCAGCTTATCAAATCCTTTTTCACTACAAGTTAGATAAATGCATCCTCATGCATCATTTTCTAAGAGCACAGCTAGAAAAGATGGTCACAGTAGTAAGAGAGGCTGGCGACCGGCATCCGTCATTTTCGCTGCGATGCTCTGAAATGCTTCATGATTTAGCTCTGAGAAGTGCTTGTTTGCACTCCCATAACCTACTCACCTGTCAACAGAGCAGCAGCAGGTGTGAAAATAGTAACAGTGACCCCTGGGGGAGGAAATGCAAACTCCTATCTATGACTCCCAAGGCCCCAGCTTAGTTGAGGCCCTTGGTGTTAGTTGAGGTAACCGAGAACCTTGCTCTCCTTCCACCCAGGCGGATACCTGCATTCCTAAGCTGAACGAAGGGGATCAAATCGTGTTAATCAATGGCCGTGATATCTCTGAACACACCCATGACCAAGTGGTGATGTTCATCAAAGCCAGCCGGGAGTCCCACACTCGGGAGCTGGCCCTGGTGATCCGGAGGAAAGGTAGGCACAGCAGGATGCCGCCTGACACGGCTTTGGAAATATGGAGTTTGTCATCCACAAATCTTCACATCATCTTGGATGCCTGACTTCTGTTTTCACCTTTCTTCTTTTTCCTTTTTCTCCCCCTGCCCTGGATGTCTGTCTGACTTCTGAACTTGAAAAACTTGAAGCTCTGCCCTCATGGGGTCTGGCCCCTCTGGCAGGCCTTCTGCAGGTAGACAGCACCCACCCACCCCATAGGTGGGGCCTGAGCCCCGAGCCTCCCAAGCCCACCTTAGCACCACATCTCACACCCCTCTTAGCTTGGCCCTGCAGACACCTGCACTTACAGCCCCTTCTGAGAGGGTCAGGATGTAGTCTCTTCACGGGCAGTGAGTCTGGCAGTGGAATCAGGAACCTTAGTGACTCTGAGTCCGCTCCTACCAGTCGAGAGACCTGGAGTAAGTTACTTATCCAGGCTGTGTTTCAGTTTCCTTAGTGTAAAACAAAAATAAAGGAGCCCTAACCTCATGGGACTCTAGTGAAGATTGAATGGCACCCTGGAAAGCATTCGATGTGGGTAGGCATTTGACGGCTGGCCTCTACTATGCCATTGCTCTTATTGCTGTGGTTGTAAAAATAAGCTGAGGCCGTAATCTTTCTAGCTTTAAAATACTGAAGGCAAACGAGACTCAGAGCCTGTGTTCTGGCCTCACACCTATAGACACAGCCCCACGCTCATGCATACCTGCCTTTCCTCCTGGGCCAGGACCACCCACCCTGCTCTCAGCCCCCTCCTTGTGGCCTCACAGGGGCGTCCAGAGCCTTATCCAACACCTCGTCCACACCAAATCCTGGCCCCAGTTCTAGCACACTGTAGGCATTCAGCAGAGATGGTGGCCAGTGTCTAGGTGCACCCTTGATGCACCTTCCTGGGCTGATGGCCGTACCTGCTTCCTTCTCATAATGTTCTTGTAAGGTTAGTGTTTCTTTCTTCAAGTGAGGAGAGGGGAAAGCCAAAACGCAAAGTACGTGATTAAGTCTCCTGCTGCGTGTGATTGATAGGGGCCAAAGGAATCTGGTGACTGGAGCTGTCACTACATGCCCAGGCATGCTGCCCTCACGGCCCCGTGAGCACAGGTGGGGAGGACCACCCTCAGCCCATGGCCAGGGGCTGGTACCTGTTTGAAGTGAAGGAAGCATGTATATAGATTATTTGACCTAAAAGGAACAGTACCGATGGTTTTCTGTGTCTGTGATACCAGTAAGTTTGCTTTGAATTAAATACTTAAGAAAAAAACAATAAGTAAACATGAGCATAGGAAGTAGCATATATGCAGAAGTCACGAAAATAGCCAGAGAGTATAGAGCTGCAGTCAGTGAAGAGACATTGTGGTCTTTGGGGTCAGACAGATGTACAGGACACTGCATGTGAACCCCCATGGCCCCCCAGCCCCGAGGCTGGGTCACTGTGGACAACTTACTGGCTCTGTCTGAGAGTCATTGTCCCACTTGTGAAATGGGGATAAGACGACTAAGAGTTAGAGTTCAGTTCTACTCTGTGCAGAAGTTGCTAGTGTCCTTTCCTGTTGGCGTGAAGGCTCTAGGGAGCCGTTGTAGACTTTTGAATAAGGCAGTGACTCCTCTCAGAGTGAAAGGGGGAAATTCAGGGAGCGTTGAGTTCCATTTGGGGACTGGAAAAGGAGGTGATGGCTGACAGAGCATGTGAGACTGGGGAAAGGTGTGCAAGTCGGGGAGCAGGCACCCGAGGTTCACTGTTCCCTGTGCTGAGTCTCATGTGAAGGGGCGTCGGCTGAAGTCAGATGGGGTACTAGGACCGGAGATGTCTACTCGGGAGCCCCTCACAGGAAACAGCCCCGGGTGAGAGATGGAGGAATGGGAACCTGGTGTGACGGGAGCACACTGGGGCCTGGGGAACGCCTCTCTGAAGGGCGCACATGGACAGGACCTGAGAAAGGGGGGAGGGTAGGAGAAGAACTCAGGGAAAGCAGAGGGGAAAGACGTGTTTTCTTCAAAAACGTTCTCTCCCTTTCTCTTACCTTTGGCAAAAGCCTCTGAGTACTAACACCACCATCATTTAGAACTAACCAGAAAGATTAGTATATCATTTTGTATCATTAGCACATATTGAATCATTCAACAGAAATAGTGTCTTTGGTGAAAAGGATTCCCATGTGCTTAATCATTTAATAGGATGTTTGAAACCATCTGCATCCAGGTATCAAAAGTGCAATTGTTTGGGGGGAGCCCAGCAGCCTGAGTGTTGCTACACCAGCTCTTTCTTCTCTGCCACAGCTGTCCACTCATTCGCTGAGATCAAATCTGAAGATGAGCTCAATCAGCTTTTCCCAGAGGCCATTTTCCCCATGTGTCCAGAGGGCGGGGACACCTTGGAGGGGTCCATGGAACAGCTAAAGAAGGGTCTCGAAAGTGGGACGGTGCTGATCCAGTTCGAGGTAAGAGACGCAGAGGGCCAACCCTGAGCCTCCATGGGTGGGCCGCTTGCTCGCCACTGGGTCACCTGAGACGCTGGCCCTGAGCTTGGGTTAGCAGCTCCGCAGCCCCGGCCTGGAAAGCCGCACGTGGTTGGTGCCTCCAGCCCATCTCTGAACTCTGCCTCACCCCAGATTCTGGTAATGCTCTGTAGTCATGGAGAAATGTGTCAGAAATCCAGAAGGAGGGGCTCTGAGCACATGTAGCTGCCAACACAGAAGCTCTAAATGCTCAGCAGTACAAGATAGTGGGTGACTGCCCCCAGTGATAAAAGGGCAGGTCCCTACCCCCTCCGAACTCTGTAATTTGGAGCAGGTCTTGTGACCCCATGAGAGTATGGCGTTGGCCTCCCCAAGTCTCTCAAGCATGTGAACATAAGTAGCAATCAGTCAGACTCCATTTTCTTCCCCCAGGAGGGACAGCTGTCTCTAGAGTGAGACTCAACAAGGCTCCCACGGAGATTTTTACAAACTAAATAGGAGCAAAGGAAACTTGGTTGTTAAATCTGTTTTACTGCCTGCTAATAGAAATGGAAATAGGACATGTTTATCTTTCAAAATTATTGAAAGGTAGGAGAAAGCTGAATAGTGCATGCAATAACAAATAACAGAAGAGCCTAGAAAGCATTAAATAGGTCAATAAAAGAAAGCAGAGAAGGCCCTCCCTGGTGGCACAGCAGGTTAAAGCACTGCACTAAGAAGCTTAAGCCACTTCCGCAAGAGTTCGATTCCTGTCTGCCCTGGAGGGGTTCCACGTGGCGAGGCAGACCTCTCCTGACCTGCCTACTGCTTCCCTCAGCAGTGTACTTTGTTGATCTGCCTGTTCTGCTCCCCACTCTGTCTCTGGTGAATCCTCTCACCCCCCGCATCTCTGGCCTGTACCCCAGTTCTATATGAATAAATAAATAAATCTTTAAAAAAAAGAAAGCAGAGGATGACTAGTGACAACATTCACAGTCTGGTAAATTTAGAATTTCAGGTCCTAGTCAAAGAAGAAATCGGTAATACATTGTTTTATCTGCAAACTATAAAGGAAAAACAGACACAAACAAATTAGAAGTTTGTCAAATGTATGCAGACCACAAAATTAATTCAAGAAGCATGAATAATATCGTGAACAGAAAGGAATGCAAAGCAAAAAGCCTTGAATGAGAAGGTTGATTTTATAATTGTATAAGGAAGATAATGTAGTAAAACATTTGAACAATGTATAAATAATAACAATTGAAATTTCAAAACCCACAAGTGAACAGCGAAGATAATTGAGCCCCAGAAATCAGTAGGGAACTTTAAGGTTTTAATTCACCACCTTAGCAGATAATGTAGATAAGTTCATGTATTATTGAAATGAAATTGGCAGGCCGTTCCTAGTGGCGTAACATGTTAAAACACACCACTATGAAGCAATCTGCAGCCCCTGCAGCATAATGTTCAACTCCTGGCCAGGGAGGTGACCCACATGGTGCAACAGACCTCTCCTGACCCGCCTGCTGTGCCCCTCAGCAGTGTATTTCAATTTGCCTGTTCTGCTCCCCACTCTGTCTCTAGTGAACTCTCTCACCCCCTCTCTGGCCTGCACCCCAGTTCTTGTATGAAGAAATAAATAAAATCTTTAAAAATTAGAAATGCAGTTAGCATGAGAGAACAGGAATAATAAAATCATTCAGCAGAATTAATACAGATATACTGAATACAGACAGAGAGAATGAGCCCTATTTTCCTGCAGGAGGCCATGTGGATTTAGGTTTTAAAAAGACGAAAATGTACATTACATTTTCTGATCCTGCATCCCCAAACGTTCAGAATTGAAATAGCATTTTAAAGACTAAAATGCAATATTTTTAAACTTTGTCGAAAATAACTGAAACAAGGAGAACTTAAAAACCAGTTACAGAATGTTAATTGTATTCTGATTTTGGTATGGAGTGGCATGACAGAGGGAAGGTGCTATGGAGTCATGGACTCGTTCACTGGGTGTGGGTCAGATGCTTACCGTGTACCAAATGCTGGGTCAGGAACACGACGAGGGGATGAAGAGGAGGACTGACTTCTGGCCCCAAGGGGCTAATAGTGTAACTCTGGTTTATTTGGGGAAAGTATCATGAATCCTAGAAACAGCTAAAGGCCAAGATAGAACAGATGTCACTACATAATGTTTGCGCCATTAGAACTGGAGGTAAGATGTCCTACGGAGCTTCTCAGGAGTGAGAAGTAGGATAAAGGAGGAGGGATGAGACGATGTGTAGAGAGGGGTTATTTTAGGAAGATCATACCTGAATGTAGACCAAGCTCATGGGCTGTCAGCGAGCCAGCTGGGGATCAGGCTCACCCCTCTAGGGTGGCAGCCAGGCCTGGAGTCCTGGGGGCTCTCTAGGTGATGCTCTTGGAGCCAACTTCCACAAGGAGGCGCTGTGGTCTCTCCGTGCAGAAAAGGTCAAGTTCAGTCTCAGTTCTCCAGAAAGTCCCCTCCTCTCAAGTGGCTACACTTTTACATTGTACATTTGGGGATCCCGCATAGATTTCCTTTGAGCGGTGTTCACTAAGCTTTACTACGTTCAAAAATGTTTGAGAGCGATGTACTCCCTTACCCCTTGTGTCTCAGTAGTTTTTAAAGGGTGACAGAGACCACCTCTATGGATATCCCCTGAGGAATTTGTTAAATGGTGCCCATTCCACAGCTTCTGCAGAGGGGCCTACATTTGGTTCTTTTAACATACTCAGCAGGAGGTTTTGATGCCCACGCTGATCCAGAGGAGAAGATCTGGTGAACCACTGTCAGGAGACTGCCCATGTTCACTGTCTGATCTCTTGAGCTTGTAGACAGACAGTTGTGTGAGAAATGGAGAACATACTAAGTTCAGGATTAAATATTAGGATGTTCATATTTCTTTCCTCTCATCCATACATTTCCTAGAAATTAAGTAGGAGACTCCTCATTTTAAACAGTGTTTGCAGAATTCCAAAACGTAGATGATGATAGCAGAGCTGCTCTGAGATGGAGCTAGTGCGACATGCAGAGCCCCGGCTCTTTGGTTTTCCCAGGCTTCCTCCCGGGGAACCGTAGACTATGTATTTTAAGCATAGAACTGGTAAAGGAGAGGCATACTAAAGAAAGCCAGTAGAGCTGAGAAACTAATGTAATGGGGGGGCCTTTAATGAGCACCTACTATGTGCTAAGGACTTCATGTGCTTCATCTCCTGGAACTCCAAGGAACCCTCATGGGTGTGTCCCCAGCACCTTGAATAGATGAGGGTCAGTCCCCGAGCTGTTATCTTCAAGCTGCGTGGGGACGCAGGCAGACTCACTCAGGAGCTTGTTTCCTCAAACACTACCCAACCCTTGGAAACCACAAAAATGCTGTTTACATGTGAGGGTCGCTGTTAGACAAGTACAGCATCCACGTGAAAAGATCTGAGTGACTGTGGCCCCCTGGAGTCAGGCAACCTTAAATCCTTACTCCACTACTCACTTCCTGAGTGACCTCAGGCACGTCCCTTAAACTCTGTGTACTCTACTCCGTCCCCATCTGTATTAATTGGGTGTCTCCAGTGATGGCTGAGTTAGAGGAGATAAGTGCTTAATGCTTTGTCTGGCACATGGTAAGAGGGCCATAAAAAGGAATTGTTATTATTTTAAGTAAAGCCTTCCAGACTCTAAAGAACGTGCCCAGTCTCCATACAAGAAGAATTTGTGCTGTGCTGCGTGGAGGTATCTCAGACCAATCACAAGTGCTACCAAACTGAGGGGCTCAGGGTTCTCTGCTCCTTAGTGCTGTTGGCTGGTGGAGTCTGTGCTCTGGACAGGAGCAGGAAGGAGGGGCTGTCCACCAGCAGGGACCCGCTCGACCACACAGAGCCCTGGCAGGCGTGAGATAGCTGGGCGGAGGGGTATCCTCTCTCCAGGTAGTTTCCAGCAACACTTGCTCCAAAGCACTTTGGCATGAAGGGAAGTCCCCCATCCCTCCCAGGCTTTCAGTAAACAGTTACAAATGTGTTGCAGAAAGCATTTGGTCTCAGTTGTAATAAAATCACACTTAATAATAATGAGCATTTCTATAGCACTTTGGAATCCACCAAGTGTTTCACAGTATGTCATCTCAGTTGAGTCTCAATGGTTCTGTAAAATTGATATAGCCAAGATTATTGGCATTGCTCTTTTGCAGCTGGAGAAAATAAGGCTCCAGGCCTAGGCCCTTGCCCAGCCTCACACAGCTGGTCAGAGAGGGAGGATGAGAATGTCTGTCAGAAGTCTAGTCCGTTGGCAGTCTCCACCACGGCCAGGTGTGACCCGCTCTCCTCCACACACCCGCCAACCCGGGCCCTTCCGTCCACGATCTAATTTGTGAGCACCTCAGTTTGCTAGCACTTGTGATCGGCCTCAGACACCTAAATATGTTGTTCAGCAGAGGTTCGCCATCCTGTGTCTCAAGAAAAGGCCGAGTCTTGAGGTCACAGAGCTGTGCTCTCACACCTCCTGCAGGACACTCTGTCAGTCCCAACGCCAGTCCTTTCTGGACACACCTCATGGCTCATCTCCTGCCTCCCGTGTTACTTTACTCGGTAGAGAGAGGCCGGTCACGAGTAGTGCAGGCACCCGGGAGAAAAGCAAAGCCATGGTGCTAGTGTGCCTGTCCTTTGAGAAGCAGCTTCCCCCCAGAAGCCCTCTCTGCCCCCCCACTGCGCCCCCCGCCTCCCCTGCCTGTGTTCGTTAAGTCCACTTTGGAGCCTTGTGGGTGTGGGTGATAGAAAGCCAAGAGCATGTCTCCTCCCTTCCCCAGGCTGCCACATCCCGCCCACATCATGTCAGATCCAGAGTCCCTCCCTCTTCCACATCCCCAGTCTTTCCCAAAACAAGGTGCTATCTTTCTTTTGGCTCACCGCTCTTTCTCCCCCTTTTTTTTAAAAAAAGCTCATTTTTTTTTTTATTCATTACACCATCCTTCATTTTTGTACAGTGTGTGGTT